AAAACATCACTATGCTTACTTTTGTGTTATTTTATCAGCCTGTGTAATGTTTGATTAGATTTTAATTGACTGAGGGCAACATTTCATTCATTAATAGTAGAATATTAATATTCTAATTTCGAGTAAACAGTGTCAAACCTAGGGTCAACGGCCACGCAGTCTGTGTACTTCCAAGTTACATAACACACGATCTAAGCCAATACACACTGAAAATCCATCATACACACACACAGCATGTGAACACTCCTACCTGAAAAGAAATGCGCTTTGAAGCCCTTCTTGGACACGGTGTTGTCGGACTTGAACTCAATCCTCATGTTGTTGAACTGCGACGTGATCACCTCCGGCACCTCGGCGCCACAGAACCTGCCGTGCAGCTTCGACTCAGCGGACAGCCCGCTCCAGATCTCCACGTAGTCGTACTTGCAAACCTGGAAGAAGCACGGTCATCACCGTCACCAGATCCGGCAATGCCCGATGCCTGACGGTTACTTCTGAAAACTGTATCATGCTTTTCCCTCTTTACTTCCGGGCAGTCAAACTGGAATTAACATGTAGAGAAAAACAATCAAGCAAAGGATGCAACTATGAGGCAGAGGCTTGAAAGAAAGACAAATTAGAAAAGAATTTTGCTCTGAATATCTGAGACAGGTATGTACGAATGCATGCCTGTTTGCATGTATTAATAGCACACATCTTGCCCAAAAACACAAAGAGAGATGGAGAATTGAGGAGAATATTTGTTGAGATAACAGTGTTGATGGTCACAAGAGCGACAATTGCTGCCTTTTTAAAAAAAAAAACTTGTTAAAAGGACTGACATTGTTTAATTTCCTTGAGTTGCTAGTACCATGACCTTGTAGGGTTGCTGCGGGGTTGCAGACCCGTGGGGACTCTATGCAGGGGACGGAGGCAGGAATTAACGCCGAAATGAGGTCCACTCATTCTGATCTGTGTGTAATTCGCTAACAACATCAAAATGGAACAAGCTAAATGAATGCCAGGTATTCTTACGCAATTTAATGGCCGCAGACGATGTTCCCGTCACACACGCTTACCGAGTTCCAGCAAGGGCACCTGCTGGAGAACACGTCTTGCATGAACGACCTCATTACGTAAACGTGTGATTAGCAGGGTTTAACAATGCATATGATTGAACCCCGGGGCACGATCTGTCCTTCGAAATATGTCAACTCAAATCGCTGGTTCTTGTGATATTAATTAGGTGGTAAATAAGCAAAATGCTTCTGGGGAAATGAAGTAACTTTCTATCTTCTTTGTGACAGCTGCCATTCTGTTTAGAGAGGGCGCCAACGCAACATAAAAGGACCTTTCTAAGGCTAAAGTCTTTTACGACTCACTTTCCTTTGGGAGATCCATGTAATAAATAAAGTAATGAAGTTTTAAACTTATAAACTCATCACTCTGTAAGTCACATTTGCTCAGGACTTTTGTTTTAAACAGCCAAGATACCAAACTATAAAAATACACGGAATGCTCCATCAGCTTTTCCCAGGGTAACACCGCCGTAAATTAAAGAATTCCAGGCCGTATTAACAAAGTCTGTAAAGGGCCTTCTATGAGTGATGACGATGACTACGGCGCTTTCGGAACATAACACCCCATCTGCGTAAAACCATTCGCACTCCTGCTGCACACAAACCTTCAGCCTTCTGAGAAATATCTACCGATGAATGGATCAAAATGGCACACACAGCTTCGGAGAAAACTACGGGAGTGGAATTCATACAACACAAAGTTCACATCAAATCACAGAACTGGTAGGGAAATTACCATTTTCAAAACACATGGCTCATATAAAAGTTTTCTAAAAATAGCATAAAGATCATTATTTTCATTTCAATATTTCCTTAAACTTGAAGTAGTTATTAAAGGAAAATGATATTTCATGTTGATAAATTATGTCAAAAAGATAAATTACTGTCTTTCCCATCATAAAACTTAACGTTAACAACAACAGAGAAACTCAAAAGGCCCACTGAGTTCTAAGATGCTACAATTCTCTGAAGTATGTAAGTTCATCACAGATCAGACTTTGATTTCCTTTAAGGGAACACAAAAGTCAGCTTCCTGTTTTTACCTCAAAGCCACCGGTAAGAGATTAATAAAAAATAACAGAAGTGCCTTAGCTACTGCAGGCCGAATTAAGGGGAAAAAAATGTAATTAAAAGGAAAGAAAGACAAGTAGACAGAAAAGCAGCAGCAAAGATAGACACGTGAAAGCAAAATTATGGCATAAAACCAGAAATATTACCAGGAATCATGCCCCGGACGGAGGCACAGACAGATACACATCCAAGGTAAATAATTTTGAGTTAATTTTATCATACATAGAAGGGTTGAATGATGTTCGTTTGAAAGTATACACATAAAAAACGTTGTTGGAGAAAGGATGCAAAATAAGTCAGTAAAATAAAAGAAACTACAGAGGATTAAATAAAACAAATGCTTGTAACCTTTTCTCTGGAATTAAATCAGCGTCGACCAATCACACGAAGGACATTTTTCTAAAAGTTCTCATCTCAGGCTTGGCATTGCATTTGAACGTGGCGTGTGGACTAGTACATGGGAATTTTCAAATCAATGACTTCCCTTGTTCGGATGTGGCTACCTGGCAGAACATCAGCAATAGGCCACACTTTGTAAAGGAAAGTAACTTCTGCCAAATGCATCCTTCGTTGAGGCTAAAAAAATTAATCTTTCTTTGTGAACCATGAGCATAATAAAAAACTACTTATCTAAGGAAAATATACCCATTTGCACAAGTAAAATATCCCAGGTTATCCCAAATGGATATCTTTGTTACGACTCAGCCAGTGGATTTCAGTTTATTTTTTCTAGAAAAGTCTATGCGTCGTGAAGCTGCCCCTACATACTCCACAGTTCTTTAATAAATCAAGAAAGTGGTACACATTAAATACACTCAGTGAAAACTCCCCCTAGGTAATTTCCAGTCTCCCCAAAACACTCTCAGCTATCAGCCGATCCCACGGGAACCACGGGCAGCGCAGGATCAGAAGCCAAGGCGCCGGCGCCGTCTGCGCTGTCCGCTGCGTTCTTTCCTCGTTGTTTTCTTCTTGCTCGGTCTGCCTTCGGGGACTTCTAAAACGTGATACAAACGGCATGTATTCTTCACTTACTTCATTGCCTTCCAATTCGAAAAACTCAAACTTCACGGAAATCCGGTACTGGGTCGGTGCCACCACCTGCCACACGCAGTTCTTGTTGGGCGGGTACTCCTTGGGCCAGCCCGGTGTGGTGATCGTGCCGTTGAGCCTGGAGAGGAGCCCACCGCAGGCGGCTGGGGGGAAAGGGAGAAAACGGTGGTGTTTTTAATAAAGCCACCCCCTCTTAGCACCAAGTACCTCAGCATTTAATCCCAGCCAAATTCTGGATTTCAGAGTCTAGAAACTGCAGTCTCTGTTCCTTAGTCTTTGCCCAATTATTTTAAGAACCAAATCCCATTTATGAAGGGTGATTTTGTAGCTTCGGAGCCAAGTGCATTGTGGCCGTGCGACACTTTAGGTCACGGTACGGCTGGGCGAGCAACAGAAAGAAAACTGGGTCTCAGTCTTCCTATCTTTTAAACGGGCATCATAGCAACTCGCTGTTCCCTGGCAACTACAGAATTAAGAGAAAAATAAATTCTGTGAGAATTGATCGTAGTTTTGTGAGAATTAAGGAAAAGACACAAGCAAAGCACTGTATAGTCTGATAGAGTGAGAACAAATTGATTTTCTTTTATTTCCTCAAACTCTTTTTCTTCCAGGACAAGAAACGCTGTGTTACTAGCAGGCAAAATAAATTACTGTGAACAGAATATATTTGTTGTTTCTTACTCTAGTGAGGGAGATGCACCCACGGCCTGTGTCAGGAAGACACAGACAGGTGATGGGTGGAGGGAGGGATGGATGGATAAAGATCTAGATCTAGATAGAGAGAGAAACAGACACAGATGTTTTAATATATACAAACACAGTGTCCTGGTGTCATGGATGGATGGGGGCATGGGTGGGTGGACGGCTCTGCATCTACACGGAGACAGAGGTAGAAGCAGATATAGACACATTAGTAGACTGATCTATCCTCTATCATCTATCTATCTATCGATCGATCAGTCTTCCTGTCAATGTCTAAGCAAGGCGGCCTGGTGACCAGAGGAGGGAAAGGCTGACTCTACGACAAGGGCCGGGAGGTCTCACTTCGGCCGTGACTGTGAACTGAGTCTTCCCAGCCGAGGACAGAGGTTCCTGTTCACACGAGGGAACGGGTGGGGAGGGAGACAGAGCGAGAGGATGAGGAGCGTAGGAGGGACCGGGCCCAGGCGGTGCGACCCCCCTACCTTCGCAGCTCCTCCTGTCGGGGCCGAGCTCGTAGCCGGGCTCGCAGGCGCACTGGTAGCTGCCCAGCGTGTTCAGGCAGCGCTGCTCACAGCCGCCCCGGTCGGGCTTGGCGCACTCGTCTTCCTCTGTGAACAGGTGACAGGTACAGGACAACCGTTTTGTTTCTGTACACAAGCCTGGGAATCTTTTTTTGTAAAAATATGATGCTTAATGGCCACGGATACAATGGAGACGATTCGCGGCTTCAGCGAACGAGCAGGGGCGAGGTGTGAGCCCCTCATGAACACGCAAGAATTCACGTCACTGCAGCTCGGAACAGAACCAAGAGGAAGACGAGAAACCCGCAGCTGGATCCTCTGAGGGCCACCTGACCTCAGACGCAGGGCCTGCTTTTGTGACTCTGAGGTCAAATGGGGACGATTAAAGCATAGAGATTTTTCAGAAATGAAATAAAAAAATCTTACTAAAAAAATCATAATTTCACCTGATTTTGCAGTATAGTTTTCCCGATATATCCCAAAAAAATGCTTTTAAAGAAATATTATTAAGAAATGGATTGTGGTGAATACAATTAAAAAGAAATAAAATGCAGAAATTAACTGGACCTCTTTAAATTGAAAACATTATGTTTCTCATACAGACATTTTGGTCCATAAAATATAATAATCTCACATTTTCACAAATACTATACAGACTATATAATTGTGTGTGGAAATATGAAAATATACATAAATTATATATTAAAACATGCTACTTTTAAAAATTTTATGATTGTTGTCATGTCAATTTTGTGATTAAATTTATGTGACAGCGTTCTCCGTACTCTCACTTTTCAGGGATAACCTAAGGTGAGTTAGGCAAGGAGTAAACACCCTCTAGAGAAATCACGCATCGGCAAAACACTAAGCATTGCTGATAACTAAATACATAAACATAACATGACGAAGCTTGACGGCATGTTTATTCTGTGAAATGTAACATACGCAGAAAATGCTAAACAAGTTAATGTACAAGTTCATACACGTAGTAAAAGTGCCAAACTTGTCCACCTTTTGGTTTCTGTGGTCAACACCCAAGCACCTCCCAGGGAAAACGCATTATAGTGTTATTCTTTACATCAGGGGAGTACGTGGTATCTATCACTCTGAATTTTGACACACACAATTGAATCCTTCATCCTATTCTATACCATTTATTCTATAAAAATCAATATAAAGGAAAATTTTGTTTTTTCTTCTTATAGAAAAATTTTATTGTATAATGATATACAAGTGCCTATGAGTTTCCTAAATGCATAGTTGATGTTACTGTTTGCACTAAAACTGCTTTCTTCTTCCTTCAATAATACACACCAAATGTGGGACATGAGAATAAACTAAAATGTAATTATGAAATTCAAAATTAAAGCTGATTGGTGATAATTCTTTGTCAAAAAGACATTTTAGACATCACATGTAGATATTCTGCTAAGGAGGTCACAAATCACGTCCGATGTGGGTGGACACTGCTCTGCAACCCCAGGCTGCAGGCTGGTCCCAGTCTGTGGGGAACGTTGTCTTCCATGAAACCCGGGCGGGCGGGCGGGTGAGTGAAGCTTCATCGATATGTACAGCCACCCCCTGTCACTGGCATCACTGCCTGAGCTCCTCCCTCCAAACCCCCAGTTTGGAAGAAAAATGGAAGAAAAATTGTCTTCCACGAAACCGGTCCCTGGTGCCAAAAAGGTTGGGGACTCACGAGGGAGAGTTAAAGATGCCGGCACTTGGAAATAAACTGACGAACTACATAGCTTCTTCCAGTCTGTATAATCCTTTCTTGGCTTTGCTATTTTGACTATTTCATTAAAAAAAAACAAAACACAGAGGGTAGAGTCTCCTAATGTAGTTCCTACCCTGTGCTACAAAGTTCCAAACTCTAGTGTTTTACTAATAACTTTCCCATCAAAACCCACCAAAATAATCCTTGTGCAAACTTCAACTTTCAATATAACTTTCTCCCGTTCTCCCTTAACTCAAAGATCAATACCACTTGATTCCTGACCAAGAACATCTCACACTTGTAAGTTACCTCAAATTACCTTTGAAAAAGTTAGCAGCGAACCCCGCCTTGTTCACGGTCCCGTCAGAGACGAACTTCATCCACAAGGCGTTGGAGGTGGATCTCACGTCCTCGGGCCGGTCGTAGCCGCAGAAGCGCCCTATCAAAGGGCTGTCGTCGCCGGCGCCGTCTCGCACTTCCAGGTAGTCGTAAGCACAGTTGTCGTGCCTTTCGATCTGCAGCAGTAAAAACATGTGACCATGTATCTCGTTTATAAATAAAACCACTTCTACAGGCAGACACAGTGTTCTCAGTGCTGCACTACTGGTACCTTAACACAAGGTCACTTGTGCCGAATGAACACACGAGCATTTCTCGGGAGTGTAACTCTGACAGCTACACCGCACCTGAATAAAGAACATTATTCTGCTAGAGAAGCCAAGGGAAAAGAAAGCTGATGGAAAACTGCGTCTGCACGAGTCAGGATCAACAGAAGTTAACTGCCTTTTAGAAGAAAACTAGACCCTGGTGCAGGCCAGCATGCTGACCGAGTTTCCACACTCGTGCGGGATGCGCCTCCTGCAAAGCTTGCTACGCCTGCACGCTGCCATCTGACGTGACAAAAATTAAAAGTGGAAAAGTTATAAGGAAAATTAAATGACAATTAGTAACTCTTCAGTAAATAGAGCTGAAAAAAAATCCAGAATTAAAATTATCGGTGAGAGTCTGGGCCGGGAAGCGGGCCCAGACACGCTGCGGCTTTGCCGGGGCCGGCGGTGCGTGGCCAATCCGCCTGGCTCTGCCCCACGCCTGCAGGCGCCAACCCTGAGAGCCGGGGCTTCGTGTTAAGCGGTTTTGCATCTCAAGCCCTCCCTACATTGTTCCCTTAGTAAACATCTGTAGAAGCAATATATGTGCAGTTATTCTTCTTATTTACAGACAAAAGCATATTCCTCATAAAAAAAAAAAAAACAAAACAAAACAAAAAAACCTGGGCCAGCTAGGCTACAAGCAAGGTATAATTGCTCTGAAACATAGTTGCAAAAATTGCTCGTAGTCTGTGATAAAACCCTCGTTTTATTCATAGAAAAGCTGGAATCGAATTCTCTTGATAAATATAGTACGATTTTAGGTTATAAATCTCTTTTTGAAGGGAAATGTGATAACATGGGGTTACAACTCCTCCTAGTCTGTGAAATTCTTTACACGCGATTTGCACGTCTGCACGGAGGAAGACTACGATATTGCCGCATCTACGCTGGGCTTACCTCTCTCAAGGTAACGTGGCTTTGTCTGGATGAGACCTTGTGCCTCAACACTATCCTCTCAACCTGTGTAGCCTGAAAACACAATCTCTTTCCTTAATAACTAAATGGAAATATTGGGTCAAACTATTAACCTAGGAAACTTTATGAAAAACTATCTGTTCATGGA